TTCTTGTCAAGAATAATGACAGTTTTATTTCTTTTCCAATTTGGTTGCCTTTTGTTTCTTCTTTTGTCTGATCACTATGGCTACCACTGCCAGTACTCTGTCAAAAAGGAGTGGTGAAAGTGGGCAGACCTGTCTTGTTCCTGTTCTTAGGGGAAATAGTTCTGGTTTTTGCCCATTGAGTATTATGTTGGCTGTAGGTTTGCCATATAAGGCTTTTACTATGTTGAGTTATTATCCCTCTCTTCCCCTTTGCTGAGAGTTTTTATCAGGAAAGGTTGTTGAATTTTGTCAAATGCCTTTTCTGCATTAATTGATATGATTATTTGACTTTTATCTCTCAATTTGTTTATGTGAGGTACCACATTTATTGATTTACAGATATTGTACCAGCCTTGCATCCCTGGAATAAATCCCACTTGGTCATGGTGTATGATCTTTCTAATGTAATGCTGGATCAAGTTTGCTAGAATTTTGTTGAAGATTTTAGCATCTATGTTCATCAGGGATATTGGCCTGTAATTCTCTTTCTTTATAGTGTCTTTATATGTTTTGGGGATTAGGGTATTGTTGGATTCATAGAAAGAGCTTGAAAGTGTGCCTTCCTCTTGCATTTTTTGGAATAGCCTGAGGAGGATAGGTTTTAGTTATTCTTTGAATGTTTGTATATTCTTTGTATGAATTTTTATTGATTTCAGATAGGAAGAGAGAGAGAGAGGGAGAGAGGGAGAGAGAGAGAGAGAGAGAGAGAGAGAGAGAGAGAGAGAGAGAGAGAGAGAGAGAGAGAGAGAGAGAAACAGAGAGAAACATCAGTGCTGAGAGAGAATCATTGTTCGGCTGCCTCATGCTTGCCTGGCCTGTAACCTGAGCATATACCCTAACCAGAATTGAACTGTGACCTCCTGGTCAAAACTCACCCACAGAGCCTCATCGGCTAAACATTATTTGTGCTTTTATTTTATTTGTTCTACCACCATTTATCCCCTCTTTGGCTGCTTCCACCTCCACCCACTGCCCTAATTATTTTTTAAAAGCAATCTTAAATATTAGTATAATTGTCTGGAGAGAGGAAAAATCCTTTCTGAATATTCAACATACCTGGTACAAAATGGGAATTATAGTCTGGAGGGGCATCAGGTCTTGGATCAGGTGACTTTAATTGATTTCCCATTTCATCTGTAGGTTGCTTAGGGGCTGTGGGGACTACACCTTTGGGGAAAGATAAGGCACATGATTTACAATGGAAAAGATAATATAACAGAATACATTCACTTTTTCTTGTTGGCATGCACTATTGCATATAATCAATAAGTAATACACTCATATTTCATACAAAAATCATAATTCATAAGTATATTAAATATCAACCTATTATAGTATTCGATAAATTTTCAGGCTGAATATGGATTAAAAATGAAAATATTAAACCATTGTGCTATGATCAAAGCAAGGAACTTTCAGGCTACTAGCTTCAGCTGTTCTGATGTGATTCCTACCTACATAACTTCCTTTCACAGTGTCAAAAATTCTTTTTCATAGTATGTAAAGTCATATATAGAGTGAATCGGATTTTTCATAAATCCATTTTGGAAAATGGCTGTTTGAATAAATTCAAAACATAACACGATAAATACTTAGTAAATTCAAAACAGAGCATGATGAATACTAAATGATTTAAAAGCCAGTGGTGACATATGCAGTTCAATTAGAGGTGGTTTAGTCAACATCTCCAGGCATTCACACTCTGCCCTATTCATCTTGAAAGATCTAAGTCACCCTGATTGCTTCAAGGGAGTACTGAAGTCACTTTTCCTCTTGCTGAAATCAGAGAACCTTTTCATTGGTCTCACTATAAGGAAAAGTTCTGAATCTCTTAACTAACTGACTTTTATCTAAAAACAATCAAACTCTCTCTCACACACACACACACACACACACACACACACACACACACACACAAATCCCATAAACAGTGTGTGTCTCTCCTTGTATCATGTCTTGCATTGCATGAAAATGCAGGTGCTACTTTTGAGCCCTCCTCTATGAAGACAGGCTGCTGTCACAGGCTTTTTATTACTACCTCTCTTTGCAGAGTTACTTTTCTACCTGTATTTTTCTTTATCCAAATTTCCCCACATACTTTAGAGATCTTTCCACACATATATGCCAATGTAAATCCCTTTTAACCCTTTTTTGTTAAAGATAGAAAGGAGTGCTCATATGTATAAATAAGTATACGTACATGAATTTATACTCTCCAAATACTTAATAAAAAAAATTCAAAATGAAATAAACTTCAAACAATTTTTAAAAAATCTTCACTGAGGATACATTTTTATTTTTTAAATTATTATTATTTTCTAATTCTCACTTGAGGATATTTTTCCATTGATTTTTTTTAGAGCAAATGGAAGGAAAAGGGGGAGAAAGAGACACATCAATTGGTTGCCTCCTGTGTGGTCCCCAACTGGGAGCGAGGATAATAAAGCCTGCAACCAAGGTATGTGCCTTTGACCGGAATCAAACCTGAAGCCCTTCAATCTAAGGTCCAACACTCTGTCCATTGAGCCATATAGCCAGGGCAAAATCTATAATTTTTAAGGAAAGCAATCACAAAATTCACATTTGGAGGCTAGGGGACTGTCTAGGGCGGGGGAAAAAATGGACACATATGTAATACCCTTTGTAATAAAAAATAAAATTTGGAAAAAAAAAAAACAAAAAACAAAATTCACATTTGAAAATAAAGCATATTAAAACTTACTCACAAAAACTTACCTGACATTTTGAGGTATTCCAATTAATCCTGAAAAATAAAACATTTCATACTTTAAAAACATACTTATTATTACTACTTAGTAATACATGTAACAAGTTCAGTGATTCTTTTAGCCGCTAGTTACCTTTCACTCATACCTTCATTAGTTCAAAAATGTTTACTGAGCACCTATTATGTACCAGGTACTATTATAGATGTTGAAAATATAGCAGTAAACCAGATGGACACACTGCTGGACATTATATTCAGGTGGAATGAGATTTAAAAATCCTATCTAATAATAGACAAACATGGTAATTAACTGTACCTCTGACATGCTTCCCATTGGCTAATCAGGGTGATATGCAAATTATCTGCCAACCAAGATGGCGGCTGGCAGCCAGGCAGCTGAAGCGAACAGGAGGCTTGCTTGCTCCTGTGATGGAGGAAGCCAAGGTTACCCACCAGCCGCCGCCGCCCAGCTCAGAGCTGCACTCTAAGCAACTATGTTGCAATTATAGAAGCTAAACAACCCCCAGAAACCTGCTATCAGCCAGCCGGGCCTAAGTCACCCACCACCTGGAAATGGTCCTCAGCCCCTCACCCAGGTTGGCCAGGCACCCCAGTGGGGACCCCCACCCTGAAGGGGGTGTGACCAGCTGCAAACAGCCATCAGCCCCTCACCCAGGCTGGCCAGGCACCCAAGCGGGACCCCGATCCTGATCCGGGACACCCTTCAGGGCAAACCAGTCGGCCCCCACCCATGCACCAGGCCTCTATCCTATATAGTAAGAGGGTAATATGAAAACTGACCCTAACAGCAGAAAGACTGGGAATGACTATGACAAACACTGACCACCAGGGGGCAGACACTCAATGCAGGAGCTGCCCTCTGGTGGTCAGGGCGCTTTCACATGGGAGCTCTGCTCAGCAACAAGCTAGGCTGATGGCTGCCAGTACAGCGGTGGTGTGGGAGCCTCTCCTGCCTCCTCAGCAGCGCTAAGGATGTCTGACTGCAGTTTAGGCCTGCTCCCGGCTGGCAAGTGGACATCCCCCCAGGGCTGCCAGAGGGATGTCTGATTGCCATCTTAGGCCCAATCCCCCGGGGAGCGGGCCTAAGTCTGCAGGTGGTCATCCCCTGAGCGGTCCCAGACTGCAAGAGGGCACAGGCTGGGCTGAGGGACCCCACCTTCCTCCCTCCCGCCAGTGCACAAATTTTTGTGCACCGGGCCTCTAGTATGTCAATAAATATTTAAGATTAAATTTAGATATTTCAGTTATGAAGTAAAAAGTTTAAGAAAAACATGAGAGTCAGGGTAACCCTCTCTCAGAATATGACCTTTGAACTATTTGAACTATGAATGGAGACACTACACCAAAAATATGGGAGAAAAGATCCAGAAAGACAGAAAAGTAAGGACAAAGGCCCTGGTGTGCCACTGAGCTTAGAATACTCAAGGGAGAGAAAGACGTCATGTTTGGAACATAGTGAATGAAATAAACAACAAAAAACAAAACAATGAATGAAGACAGAGGTCTGATCAGACCTAAAGAGCATAGCAAAATGTTTGGAATTTGTTTAATTGCAGTGGAATGATCAGATCTGACACATATTTTACCTTTCTTTTATTTTTTTCCATCACCTTTTATCACCCTCATACCCTCTTCCACCTCCACCCATCCTTCTACACCCCCACAAAAACCACACTGTTGTTCATGAGTTATCTTTCTTTTTTCTCAATCCCTCCAATCCCCAGCATACCTCCCCTGACCAGAGTGGTCTGCCTGTTCTCTATTAGTCTGTCTCTATTTTGCTTGGTAGTTCAGTTTGCTCATTATATTCTACATATGAGTGAAATCATATGGTACTTGTCTTTCTCTAATTGGCTTATTTCACTTAGCATAATGTTCTCCAGGTCCATCCATGCTGTCCCAAAAGTTAAATTTTTCTTTTTTACCAGAGTAGTATTTCATTGTGTAAATGTACTATTGCTTTTTTACTTTTTAAATAATGGTTGTTTTAAAATGTATTTTTAATGATTTCAGAGAGGAAGGGAGGAGAGATAGATAAACATCAATAATGAGAGAGAATCATTGATCGGCTGTCTCCTAAACACCCCACACTGGGGATCAAGCCCACCACCTGGGCATACGCTCTTACCTGGAATTGAACCGTGGCCTCTTGGTTCATAGGTTTTTCCAGCTGGTTCCACTGCTTTTTTATCCACTCATCTACTGATGGACACATGGGCTGCTTCCAAGTCTTGCCTATTGTAAATAATGCTGCAATGAACATAGGGGTACATATTTTCTTTTGATTTAGTATTTCAGGTTTCTTTGGCTAAATCCCAGAAGAGTATTCACTGGGTCAAAATGCAGTTACATTTTTAATTTTTTTTTTAATTAACTCCATACTGTTTTCCATAGTGGCTGCACCAACCTGCATTCCCACCAGCAGTGAACTAGTGTTCCCTTTTCTCCACAATCTCACCAACATTTGTTGTTTGTTGATTTATTGATGATAGACATTCTGACAGGTGTGAGGTGGTATCTCATTATGGTTTTAATTTGCATTTCTCTGATGATTACTGATGATGAGCAACTTTAATATATCTATTGACCATCTGTAGGTCCTCTTTGGAGAAATGTCTATTCAGGTCTTTTGTCATATTTTTAAATTGGTTTGAATGTCTTTTTGGTGTTGAGTTTTATAAGTTCTTTATAAATTTTGGATATTAACCCCTTATCAGATGTATCACTGGCAAATATGTTCTATTCAGTGGTTTGTCTTTACATTTCATTGATGGTTTCCTATGCTGTGCAAGAACTCTTTACTTTGATGTAGTCCAATCTGATTTTTTTTGTTTCCTTTGCCTGAGGCAATATATCAGAAAAAATATTGTTAGGAGAAATGCCCAAGATTTTACTGCCTATGCTTTCTTAAAGGATTTTTATGGTTTCTAGTCTAAAATTTAAGTCTTTAATCCATTTTGAGTTTATTATTGTGTGTGGTGTAAGGTGGTCTAGTTTCATTTTTTACACATATATATCCAATTTTCCAACACCATGTCATTGAATAGACTATTTTCAGTCCATTGTATGTTTCTACCTCCTTTGTCAAATATTAATGGACTATAAAGGTATGGCTTTCTTTCTGTTACATTCTATTGATCTATATGTATATTTTTATGCTAGTGCCATGCTGTTTTGATTACTATAATTTGATATCAGGTAGGGTGATTCCTACAACCTTGTTCTTCTTTCTCAAGATTGCTGTTGCTATTCATGGTCTTTTTTAGTTCCATACAAATTTTTGAAACACCTGTTCTAAGTCTGTAGAAATATTCCATTGGTATTTTCTTAGGAATTGAATTCAATCTGTAGATTGCTTTTGGTTAGTATGTATAACTTAATGATGTTAATTCTTCCTATCCATGAACAAGATATATGCTTCTACTTATTTCTATCTTCCTCAATTTCTTTCTTCAGTGTCTCATAATTTTCTGAGTACAGGTCTTTTACATCCTTGATTAAATTTATTCCCAGGTATTTTACTTTTTTTAAGCAATTGTGAGAGAGATTTTTGTTTGTTTCTCTTTCTGACAGTTCATTATTGGTGTATAAAAATGTAATTGATTTCTGGATATTTATTATATATTCTGCTACTTTACTGAATTCATATAAATTTAAGGTTTTGGTAAAATTTCCAGCACTATGTTGAGTAAGAGTGGTGAAAGAGTGGATTCCTTTCTTGTGCCTAATCGTGGATACCTCTTTCTTGTGCCTAATCTTAAGAGAAACGCTTTTAGTTATTGCCCATTGAGTAAGACATTGGCTGTAGGCTTGTCATACACGACCTTTATTATTTTGAGATATGTTCTCTATATTCCCACTGTGGTAAGAGTTTACATAATAAAAGGGTGATTTTATCAAGTGCTTTTTCTGTACCTATAGATATGATCATGTTATTTTTATGCTTCATTTTGTTTATGTGGTGTATCATGTTTATTGATTTGCATATATTGTACCAACTTTGCTTCCCCAGAAAAAAGCCCACTAAATTGGTATATGATCTTTTCAATGTACTGCTGGATCTGGTTTACTAATATTTTGTTGAGAATTTTAATATCTATGTTTGTCAGGGATATTGGCCTATAAATTTTTTTCTCTGTAGTGTCATTATTTGGTTTTGGAATTAGGATAATGCACACCCCGTAATATGACCTTGGGAGTCTTCCTTCCTCTTGAATTACTTTGAATAGTGTGAGAAGAACAGGTGTTAGTTCTTTCATTATTTGGCAAAATTCACCTGTGAAGGCATCCAGTTCAGGACTTTTGTTTGTTGGGTGTTTTTTGAATTACTGCTTCAACTTCATTATTCTTCCTAATTTAGTTTCAGAAGATTGGATGTTTCTAGAAATTTATCTATTTCTCCCAGATTGTCCAATTTGTTGGTATATAGTTTTTCATAATATTTTCTTACAATCCCTTGTATTTCTGTAGAGTCAGTTGTTACTTCTCTTTCACTTCTGGTTTTACTTACTTAGGCCATCTCTCTATTTTCCTTGATAAGTCTGGTTAAAGGTTTGTCATTCTTGTTTATCTTTTCAAAGAACCAGCTCTTGGTTTCACTGACCCTTTGTTCTGATTTTTTCTTTTTTCTTTTAGATGCTATTTCATTTATTTGTGCTTTGATATTGTTTCCTTCCTTCTCCTTACTTTGAGCTTTGCTTGTTCTTCTTTTTCTAGTTCCTTTCAGTGTAAAGTTAGTTTATTTGAGACTTTTCTTGTTTGAGGTAGGAATATAACACCACGATTTTCCCTCCTAAGACTGCTTTTGCTGTGTCCCATAGATTTGGGGTTGTTGTATTCTCATTTTCATTCATTTTAAGGTATTTTTTGATTACTTCCTTTATCTCACTGTTAACCCATTCATTGTTTAGTAACAAGTCATTTAGCCTCCATGTCCTTGTGTGTTTTTCAGTTTTTTTCCCTGTGATTGATTTCTTGTTTTATACGATTATGGTCAGTGAAGATGCTTGATAAGAATTCAATCTTTTGAAATTTATTGAGACTTTTTGTGTCCTAACATCTTGTCTATCTTAGAAAATGTTTCCATGTGCACTTGAAAATAATGTATATTCTGCTGCTTTGGAGTAAAATGCTCTGAAGATATCAATTAAATCCATTTGATCTAGTGTGTCATTTTAGGCTGATCTTTGTTAAAATGTCTTGATGTTGATTACATTTCACTTCATATAAATATCTTTATTCTCTTTAATGGCTGCACCACAATTTATATAACTGTCTGCATAAGGATGAAAATTTAAATTGTTTCTGAATATATGCTATTACAAACAATGCTAAAATAAACCAATATATACTTTTTTGGGTACCTGTATATTAAGTTCTTGGAACCAGAATTACTGGATGAAAGTTTTATGCATATTTATTTTGCTATACATTGCCAAACTGTACTATAAAATATTTAAATCAATTTACATACCAGAAAAATGTGTTACATTACTAACGTGATGATTTATCAAATCTTTTCTCATTGCCAATCTGAAAGGTAAATACATTTTAGTTTTACTTTTCGTATCTTAAGTGAAAAAGGGAATTTTTATTATATGTTTAAAAGTCATTTGTCCACCCAGGCTTCACTCCCCATGTCTGAAACTTGCCTCCCCCAGGCTACGAACCCAGGCAGAACTCAGGCCCAGGATGCAGGATTATCACAGGAAGGAGCATGTTTTTTGTCCAGAGGATAATCTACTCTTTTGGCAGTAGAGGTAAATTCCCAAGACAATTTATTCTTCAAAAATCTTCAGACTCTCAACTTGTGCTGACTACTAAGTGACATCAGAGGAACAGCAGTGTGAGCGATCCCCTTGGAGTTTCAACTATTTCAATAGCTATAATTCAACAAAGGATTCTCTGTTCATGTATAAATATACCATGCACTGAAACAGCTAAAGGTGGGCAAGTGGGAACAAACTGGGGAGGTAAGAATGGAGAAACACTGAGAAAAGCCACAGATGCACCCTGAATCTGGGGGCTTAAGGTGAAGCTGAACCCAATGAGGGGAGGAATCCGGTTGTACCTGGCACCCTCTTCAGCCAGGAGGAGCAGGGATTTAGAGAGCATCCTTGCAAAAGTGGGCAGTACAAGCTAAAACTGACCCCAGTGCCCTTGGCAGGGACACATCACAGAAGTGAGCCACAACTGTCTGGTGCTGGGCATTTTCAGACAGAGATGCAAAGCCATGGAGCCTGACTGCTCATTAACCACCCAGATGCCGTCTCCTTTCACACTTGGTATTGTGTTGTAGAGCACATTATCTTCAGGAAACATAAATGTGGCAGACAGAAGAGTACAGACGGGTCCTAAATCAGGCCCCATGGGAGATTAAAACTCAACTAAAACAAATGACACTTCATTACTTCACTTTTTTTTATCTTCTACTTAAAAAATTATTTTTTTCCATTTTCTTTATTTTTTATTATGTTTATTTTTTATTATCATTATTTCTATTTATACTTATTTTTTAGCCCTTTATTTTTCTTTCGGATTACTCTTCTACATTCTATTTTTACTTTTTTATCATTATTTATCTCATTTTTTCCTTTTTGCCAACCTTTCTTCCTCACTTCTACCTTTTTCATCTTGTTTCTCTTCTCCTATTCCTGTGTTAGTTTTTCTGTCTCTTTTAATTTTACTCCTTTTTAAAAGTTAATCTTTTTTATCTGCTTTATTGATACATTACTATTATAGTAGTCTCTCTTTTACTCATATATCGAATTTCTTCTCCCCTATTCCAAGTCCATGGACCCTTGTCTTTTCTCTTTATGCACTAGCCAATATTTTTCCTTTTCTTGTTGTTCATTTGTTTTTTTGCTTTTGTTTTTATTTTGTACTTTTGTTTTTCCTCTCATCACTTGCTCTCTTCTTCTACTAATAGCTTAATTAGTTTCTTTCACCAAACTCAGGCTTATATGCTCTCTACTATATTCTCCTTTTTCAAATATAGATGAATACATAAATAGGTTAAACAAAGGGGAAATTTTTTTTCTGGTATAAACATATATATATATGTATATATGTACATATATGTATATATGTACGTATTTTGTTCTTTTTACTTTTATTCTTATTGTGGACGAAAGGGGCCACATGCTGACCTAACAAGCTCAGGGGAGGCCTGCATGGCAGTTTTGCAGACCTAAAGTAACCACAACGGATGGTCTGAAATTAAACCTTAACTAAAAGCAGTTATGGTGGGC